CCAGGCCTGCCCGGGCGCGCGGGCCGCTCCTGACCTGTCCCTGTCGCTCAGGTCTGATCGGCTCGGCCTTCTCCTTCCTGCAGTTCCTCTCCGCGCCGCTCACCGGGGCCGCCTCCGACTCCCTGGGGCGGCGCCCAGTGATGCTGCTGTCCCTGGTACGTTCCTCGAACCAGGTGCCCACGGGGTGACCCGGCCTCCTCCCGCCCACACAGCAGCCGCGGGATGGGCTTGGCTGGGCATGGGCAAAAAAGGGGTGGCTGTGGGTCCCTCCTCGCCACGGTTGGCCCTGGAAGGATGACTGGTGCCGGCGGCCCAGCCGGGCGGCCTGGGCCGCTCCTGCCACCTGGAGCACCGGGGGCTGGGGCGGGGCCCAAGGAGCGTGGCCTGGGCCTGCTCGCCCCCTCGCGGCCCCTCCTGGCCACGAGTGACTCCACCTGCCCTGCCAGGCGGGTCTGGTTGCCTCCTATGCAGTGTGGGCAGCATCCCGGAGCTTCGCGGCCTTTCTGGCCTCCAGGGTGATTGGGGGCATCAGCAAGGGGAACGTCAGCCTCTCCACAGCCATCGTTGCTGACCTGGGCTCACCTCCAGCCCGCAGCCAAGGCATGGTGAGTGCACAGGCCTGGATGAGGGGGCCTGGGCCTGGGCCTCTCTGCCCAGCTCTGAGGGCCTTCTCCCCAGGCAGTGATTGGAGTGGCTTTCTCCTTGGCCTTCACACTGGGCCCCATGCTCGGTGCCTCCCTGTCTGTGGAGATGGCACCCTGGCTCAGCCTCTTCTTCGCAGTCTCCAACCTGCTCTTCATCTTCTGCTTCCTGCCAGAGACGCTACCCCCAGAGAAGCGCGTAAGCTGGAGGTTGGGTCCCATGGAATGTCCTCTCAGTCTGTGTCACTGTCTGGTGCCAAGGGAGCAATGCTGCCCTCTTTGGTGTCTTGGGGCCTGCAGTGCTGGGGCAGTGCTGTTCCTTAAGCTGGTAGGCCTCTCCAACTCCCCGCAGGCACCCTCCGTCGCCCTGGGCTTCCGCGCTGCTGCTGACCTGCTCAGCCCAGTGGCCCTCCTGCGCTTTGCAGCTGTTGCTCGAGGCCAGGACCCACCTACCAGAGACAGTAAGGAGCCTGCCCTACATACCAGGGCTTTCCAGACCTTGGCTGCCTGGTCCGAGGCCCACGTGAGCCCCCTGCTGCCCTGCAGAGCTTGGCAGCCTGCGCGGCCTGGGCCTGGTCTACTTCCTCTACCTCTTCCTGTTCTCGGGGCTGGAGTACACACTGAGCTTCCTGGCGCACCAGCACTTCCAGTTTAGCAGGTGGGTCCCACTGAGCAGGCCCTGCCTCAGGGTTCAGTTCCCCCCAGCAGCCTGCTGCCCTCTGCCCCACCCCTGCCCCACTTGGGCTCCAGGCCCCCAGGCCGAGGGCTGGACTCACCCTCTGCCTCCCAGCCTGCAGCAGGGCAAGATGTTTTTCTTCATCGGTCTCACCATGGCCACCATCCAGGGCACCTATGCTCGGCGAATCAGCCCTGGCCGGGAAGTGGCAGCTGTCAAGCGGGTAGGGGCTTCTCCTCCAGTGGGTGATAGGTGGTATCCTGGGTTCTGTGGGTGGGCAGTAGAGCTGGTCTTGAAGCCATGTGACCACCACAGGCCCTGCTGCTGCTGGTGCCAGCCTTCCTTCTCATTGGCTGGGGACACTCACTGCCCGTGCTGGGCCTGGGGCTGCTGTTCTACTCCTTTGGTGAGTAGCCCTGCAGGGCTGGAGGGGGAGCCCCATCCCTGTCCTCTGGGCTGACAGATGCCTCCAATGTCCCCACCAGCCGCTGCTGTCGTGGTGCCTTGCCTGTCCTCCATGGTTGCCAGCTATGGTAAGTCCTTCCAGGGCCAAGGACACCAAGGTGAGAGGTGACCGGCAGGCACCTGATGAGGTCTCTCCCCACAGGTTCTCCAGGACAGAAGGGCACTGTCATGGGCACTCTGCGGAGCCTGGGTGCCCTGGCCAGAGCGGTGGGGCCCATGGTAGCTGCCTCAGGTAAGGGCTGTGGGACAGCATTCAGTGTGCTGTGTGACTCCTCGGCTACCCAGCGCTGCTCTTGGCTCCCCACTTGGTCTGAAAGGGAGTGGGGGGGTGCGGGGGTCCTCGGTCCTGGGGCCCCGGGTGAGCCTGTCCGACTCTCCACAGTGTACTGGCTGGCTGGGGCCCAGGTCTGCTTCACCGTGTGCTCGGGGCTCTTCCTGTTCCCCTTCCTCCTCTTGCTGAAGCTGAGACATCCAGCGCCAGTTCTCAAGGCCGAGTAGCTGAGCTGCGTGGCCCACACGGGGCCACCCTTGCTCTAAGTGGGAGCCTGGACCAGAGCCCCTGTCCCCAAGTTTCTGCCTTCCCAGAGAGGCTTGCCCACTCTTCCCCCACCCCGGGGTGGGATGGGGCGAGTCTGGGCAGCCTTACTCTCTTCTCACTCCAGAGGCCCAGGCAGGGTTGGTGACACCAAGAATATCAAGTTTTCTGTTCGTTACTGTCATTGGTGATGTTGGCCACTGCCCAGGCTTCTTAATGTCCAATAAAGCAACTATTTTCTACCAAGTGCCTTTCTGTTCTGCCCCACCAGCCACCGCCAAGAGCTGAATCTGCAGCTGGGTGGCTCTTGGTTAGGACAGAACACAAGTGTCCCAGAGCCTGTGTCCTCCTCAGCAGATGCTTGGGGAGTCAGGCACGGACCCAAGGCTGTGGGTCAGTCCTGCTGGCAGACAAGAGGCAGAGCCTTAGGCTATCGTTATTCCTGACCCCTCTTTATCAGATATGGCCACACTGCTGTTCCTATTCCAGTGAGGCTTGGTCTATTCACATTTGGGGGACAGACTGTCAGGACAGGCTCATGTGCTCAGTGCCCTGTCCAGCAGCTTCCAAATGCCACCTCAGGTTCCCCAGGGAGGCCCAGCAGGGGCACTAGGTTAGATATACGTTCCCAGTCCACAGCTGCAGGGAACAGCTGACTGACAGTGGCCGCAGTGGCATGGATAGCGACCCAAACTGCCTGGAGACTGAGGCAAGGGATCACTAAGCCCCTGGGTTGACAGCCGGGCCTGGGCAACACAGCAAGACACCCCCATCTCAAAAAAGGGGGTGGGGACAGGAAAACTTGGAAATCCTACTTTAAGGCAAGAAAAATACTCAGACAGAAACTGCTTAAAGAGTTTATTTGTGAGTAAAACATGTTACAACGAGGAAAGGACACACAGGCGTCTGCATCGTGAGTGCAACTACGTTTCATGTTGTGATACAAAGAATTAGACTACAAAAGTGAAAACTGAAGGTCACTGCGTATATGGGGCAGGGAGGGGGTGAGGAGGGACAAAAGGCAGGGTCCAGGACAAAGGTGGGAAACTTCATGCCACCTTGGCAGCAGGCCCTGGGCCACCCTGCCACCAGCCTTGGGTCCCGCTCAGGCACGGTGTTGGTGGGGTTGTGGGCATTCAGCCCACCATGCTGAAGATGTGGCACTGGTGCTGCCCACCGCTCCCTGGTGGGACACCTCTGGGCCCCCTGGCAGGCACCCCACAGCTCCTGGCACCAGCCACCTTTGAGGGCTTGCCTAGCCACCCACTGAGCAGCCTCCAGCCCTTTTCCAGGGATGAGTTAAGTGAAGATTCACAGCAGTATTGACAAAGGAGAGAAGGATGCAAGAGGCCACCGAGTCAAGACTTCTGTCTTGAGTTCACTTTCATCAGAACCTGGACATCTTATAGGCCGAGTTAGGATGGGAACAGCCTGCCATCGGTTCTGAACCCCACACAGGCAGGCAGTGCTCCCTGCAGTCTGCCAGAGGTCCAGAAAGAAAACTAAAGTGGTCTGTTCACATTTAGTGAAAAAGGAAGCTAAATTGCAAACCTGCCAAAAGAAAAGACTCTTCTCCCCTCTGGGCATCCCCTTCCCTGTGAATCTGCTTGTGGTGGGGGTTGTCCATCAGCCCATAGGGAGCATAGCACTGGACATGTGCAGGCCCAGCATCCTGCCCAAACCCACCTCTTCAAGGCAGCCCTGGGGCCAGGGGTTGGGCAAAGGAGTGCTGCACAGCACCAAGGCTGTGTGCAGGAAAGAGGGAGGTCACTGAGCAGGTGATGCCAGCAAAAGCCACAAGTCGATTCAGTCACCTGAGACACCTTAGGGTGAAGAGGAAGCCGAGCAGAGAGTTATTTCACAACAGGAAGGATAAAGTGGTCAAGGCCCAGGGGGACAGTGCCAGAGCTGGTAGAAGCCTCTGGTGCCTTCCAGCCAAGACCATGACTTAGAGGCCCATCTCCCCCAGAACCCGAGGCAGGGGGGGCGGGGGAAGAGGGCACATATGGGTGGTCAGCACCTGTCTGCATGGGGCTGGGCACAGGCGGGAGGGGCCTAGCTAGGTAGAGGGCTTGGCTTTTCGCATTCCATTACACAAGAGGACAGAACACAGACATAACCAGGGACTCTGGCAGATTCAGGGCTGCTTCAGACAGGACAGTGCAGGCCAGGCCTTCAGGAGTCGCCCCTCTTCTTGCTCTTCTTCAGGAAGGAAGGAGTGCGGAACTTCTTCTTCTTCTTAGACGGGGACTTGCCTGGAGACCCGTCGCTGCCGGGTTCCACAGCAGACCCCTCCTCAGCAGCTGGGGGGGCCGTCTCCTCAGCTACTGGGGCTGAGGCTGGCTCAGGGTCAGCAGCGGGGTCTGGGGTAGGGCTTGGGGGACCCTGGGCTTCCTCCTCCTCTAGAGTCGAGAAGCCAAGTGCTTCTGAAGGCTCCTCGGGGGACAGGTCAGATAGCATCGGCTTGAAGGTGGCAGCATCGCTGTCGTCTCCGGGAGCCGGCTCCTGCAGGAGGTCTGGCAGCAGGGTGGGAGTGGGAGAAAGGCTTTAGGGCTCCTGCCTGGTCGCCAGCTGCCTAGTGTCAGCAGAAGGAGCGGCCACTCAAGGGACTCTGCGTTTTCCAAGACAAGAAGCTCTAACTAGACCTTGTCTACCTTAGCTGGGTGAAGCTAACCTTGGAAAAGGTCTGTCTCCAAGGATGTCTGGCGCCTCCGGCGGGGAGCATCTCAAGCTTCCTGAGGAGCACAGCCTTCATACTGAGCTCTGGCCTAAAATTATGCCTAGAATTGGTTCTACAACATCTGGTCTTCCCCAAGGGCAGCCAGGAGAGAACCATGAGCGAACCCCAGACCCCAGGAGCACAGACCTCCAACAAAACAGCCATTTAGGCTGGAGAGTGGAAAGAAAAATGGAACTACATGGGAAGTTATAGAAACAACAATAACAAAATCAAGCCACCCTCACAATCTGAATAACAACAGGAAAGAGCAAAATGTCACCTGTCTCCACAAAGCCTGGTTTCCATCTACCCACATGCCTACACCCACCCTAGGGACACCAGTGTTGGAGGTTTTACGTAGTCTACAAAGTAACAAGCAGCTGCATGTTAGGCAACACCAAACCACTTAGTACTCAGAAGTCAAGCACAGCTCAGGATGGGGAGCTAAGCGGGGCTGGAGAGGCCTGGCCACACATGTTCCAGGCCCGACACTGCTGTAGCTTAGGGAGCAGGGGGTGCCCCACAGTCCACCCTATTCGTTGCCCTCTTCCCTCACTCCACGCCACACTCAGAGCAGGAGGGAAGGCTGGGGGTGCAGGCACCTCCCCACCCGGAGGGATTAGGGCTCCCTCTGCCAAGCTCACAGCAGCTAATGCTCCAAGATAGAGGCCCTGGCATGCACTCTAACTTTCTATCATTTGACAAATGTCACATTTCTTAAATAGTATTAATACCCTCTTCAGCTCACTTCAAATTACCAATGCCAGTTTAAACACAGGTCCAAATAAACAGGACTCCATGCACCTAGTAGAAGAACCCACCTGGCAGAACCTCATCTGCATTTACATCTGACCTAACCATCAAGAGAGATTCTCAGAGGATGAACTTAAAAAACTCCATTTTTAGACCCAGGCTGCTCTGAGCAACACTGTGCAGTGTGTGGCGGCCCCAGACAGTCCATCCCACCGTCCATGCAGGCCGCTGCCCTGCACAGTGCTCAGGTAACTCACTCATGGGGAGGCCACTGAAGGGTTGGTACAAAAAAAAGAGGGCCTCTGTTTTTGTTTTGAATAAACAGAAAACAAAACTTAATAAACAACAAAGAAGCAGGAGAACGAGGCAAAGCAGAGGCAGGGGTGTGAGAGCAGAGCGCCAGGCGCGGGCAGTACTTACTAGGGCAGCAGGTACTCTTTAGCACATCCAGCTCCTGTTGAAAGGCGGCCGCGAGAAAGAGAAGCACAGGAGAGAGTCTATGCACTCAGTCACAGCCACCGGGTTCCACAAGAAAGGCCGAGCCACTCTTGTAGGACACAGAACGGGGAGGGAAGCCACAGGCTTCACGGGAGACACAGATGTACAAGACTGAGACACAGACGTGTCAGATCACACATCACGGACGTGAGACAGTCCGAGAGGCGAGCAGGGTACACACAGCCTCTCGGCACCTGCCTGATGTGGCAGGTCAAGCATCCTGCAGCCTGACAATGGAAGGCACTCAGGTGCCCTCTCGACATGACGAAGGATGGTAAGTAGGCAAGCAACGGGCAAAGCTGGCACGAGAACCGTGGTGGGTCCCACCCCTGAAGTTGCCCTCCCACGATCATAATGGCTGGAGTCTGTTCTGCCTCAGGTTACCCAGCACAGACAGATGACAGAGGAGAAGCCAGGGGAACTCCAGAGCTGGGTCAGGCCTGCAGACTTCTTTATTCAGGTTAACAGAACTAGTGCCACAACTAGGTGTCAGTGCACAGGCATGCACCCTCCCACATCAGGGCCACCGCACCCCCACCTCCACCAGAGCTCACCTTCTTCAAGCTTGACAGGGGTGCTGGGGGGAGTGTGGGGCACAGCCAACTGGTCTGGAAGGCTCTCTTCCTTCTGCTCTCTCGCCTCATCCAGATTGTCTGCAGGTACACACAAAACAAGAAAATGGTGCATGGGACTTGCAACCCCAGGACCCTCAGCCTGCATTAGGTTTTGAAGTTTACAGGTGTCCCACAAGAGCTCATGTGCTGCAGATATGGTCCCTGGCTGACGGTTCCTCAGGAAGGCAGGGAAGCCTGGGTGGAGGAGGAAGGTCCCTGCGGGACATATCCTTGACGGGGATATCGGGAGCCTCCATCTCTCTTCCCTGCCTCCACAAGGGCAGGAGCGGTGCTCCACAAGGCCCTCCCTGCCATGACAGCTGCTCACCATAGGCCCAAAGCAAGGGAGCCCACCAACCAGGGACTGAAACTTCAGGAACCACAAGCCCAAGGAGACCTCTCCCCCTTCTAGGTGTCCTATGCACCGGGTAGGAGAGAGGCACAGCGAGGTAAACCAACTAGCCCAACCTCTTGAGCAGTAGATGGCCTCAGAGGTCATGCTGGCTTCCCAGGGTGTGTTCTGGAAGAGCCACAGCAGGGCTTTGTGCCTGCTAGCTTTTGGAAAAGGATCAAGAGACTGACTACAAGTGAGTGTTTATTTGAAGTTTAACCAATCTTGGGTACAAAGTTAATTTCTATTCTTATTCACAAGAAAACTTGCC